TTGGTGTGCTGGAAAATCTGTGTGTTATTCTGTAATGTTATCTGATTTATTTAATATATGTAGATAATTGTATATGTATGTGTATTTATGTAATGTATGTAGTATGTATTAATGTAATAAATAAAAAATATATGTATGTGTTCCTATATAAATTCTATACTATAATATGCAATATAATTATGCTGTGCTTCCCTGCACTGTGAACGGAATGCACACTGTAAGATAAAGCAGATTTTAAAAGAATCCAAATAGACTAACAAAAACAAAAACAGGATTTTGGGGGAAGAATAAATTGAAAGGAATTAATTAATATAATAATAAAATAAAAGGGTATAGAAAGCAAAAGGTATTGATGAATCCCACTTGTTAGGCTAGCAAGTAGGAAATGAAAGGTAGCATTTGTTGTCTGACGCTACTGAGCTGCTGGAAGACAGCTCAGTAACTGACCCCAAGGCAAAAAGCATCTCAGTTCAAACAATGCTGCTTTTTATGCTGTTTTTTTCATCCCTCCCCCAGAGCACTGGGATTGGAAGGGACCTCAGGGAAGGATCACAGTCACTGACCAGCTACACAGTCAATATCAGAGCAGTCCTTTCCCCTCCCTCTCCTTATTTTTCCCTCCCTCTCCTTATTTTCTGTTTCCCTGCAAGCAAGCCCAGCTTTAGCTTCAAAACTAGAAACATTCTGAAACTTTCAAAACGTTTCAGCTGCCCTGGTTTCATTTGAGGCTCTTTTGAAGCCCTTCATTTCATTTCTATTTCGCTGTTTTGAGCTTGAAACGAATTGAAACAGCATTGAAACAAAACAGCTGGCAAAAATTTTGCACAGCCCTACCATATATCCAATGTGTGTTTAACTCAAATTTAAGAATGCCAAGCACAAAGTTACTTCTGGAAATATGGCCCTTGAAGTCTTAGGGAAAAAAAAGATGAATACTATAAGTTTTTGGAGTCTGGAGATTAAAAAATGTATTGAGACAGTTTCCCAAGCAATGATATTTGAATGAAAACCCATCAGTTTAATCTTAGAAATGTTCTTCTGTCTGCATTGCTTGACAGGATCATAGAATGGAAACCTTGTTTGCTTGACAGCCATAAGTGATAGCTGGCATTTGTCTCCTGATGAGACAAATATCCCTCATCAGTGTAATTTCTTATGAGAACTTAAAAAGGCTAACAAAAGTGAAGAGAGGACCCACATCATTTAAAAGAGCAGGGCTGGTAGATACTTTTCAATCTAAAACTTTTCCTAACAATTTTACACCATTCTAATTTGTATAGGATCCCTATGGGCTGTCTGTAACATGTATAGCTATCATGATTCTGTTGTGTAATTACCATTACCATCATGCGCATCCAGAAAAACTCTGGTTTAATTGGGGTTAAATCTGACATATGCAGGCACTTGTACATGTGATGGATGTCACAATGTACATGTGACAAAAATGTAATTTGTGTGGCTTAATGGCATCACGCATTACACTTGTACCAGTTTGGGGATTTTTAAATGACATTGCAAATGAAACTACGTCTGGATGTAGTTCACTTTGCAATGTTGCAAAGTGCAACAGTGCAACTGTCAGCTCGCCCTCCAGCTGTGGGAGAGGCGGGAAGGCCTTGCAGAAAAAAAAAAGTTGGGTCCCTTGCCGCTTCCATCTTCAGCAGGCATTTTGCTGCTGCAGGCACCTACTGAAGGCAAAAAGTGGTGAGGGGCTCAAACATTATTTATTTATTTATTTTTTGCAGAGCCTGCCTGCCTTTCTCACAACTGGGGGACAAGCTTCCAGTGGGCTGAGCTGTCTCTGCTAGTTCTTCCCTCTGCTCCTTCCCTCTGTGGTGGTGGCATCCCCCCTCCCCCTCGGGCCGCCCAGGTGGACTGGAAACAGGTAGGTTCTGTCCTAGCTTGGAGGCAGCACCTGGCCAAATCAAGCTCTTCCCCAAGCCTGCCAGGGTTTTTAGTACCCCGTGCACTGTTCCCACTGCCTGGAACCATCCAGGAACAGGCTGGCTTGCCCCTGAGACAGTGTGAGGAGGCAGCAGAAGGGTGGCTGGGTGTGCTTGTAGTCGGAGAAGGCTGCAGAGATAGTGGGCGGGGTGCTGGAAGCCTGGGTGGGCTTGGGGAAGTGTGGGCTTGGTAGGCTTCCAGCACCCTGTGCACTAGGGGTGTGCAAAATGGGCCCTATTCAATTTGGATTTGGATTCAGCCTGAATCAGGGACAGTGATTTGATTAGTTGATTCAGATCACTGTCCCTGCTTCGATTTGGCCAAACCTGAATCTGAAGATTCGATGCTGATTTGGAGAATCGGTGGTTCGGCCATAGACACAGCTTTAAATATTTTTTTTACATACCTCAAGGTACTGGGCATGGATCATGAATGCTGCAATATTGGACTGTATGGAGCATCCCACAGGAGTGTGGGGGCCCCCTCTGCATACTCAGCAGCGAACCCGGAAGTGGACTGGAACTATTTCTGGTCCACTTCTGGGTTCTCCGCTGAGCATGCAGGGGGGCCCCCTGCACCTCCTCTGGCTCGCTGATCAGCCATGGGGGGATCTGGGGTGCCCCCCCAGTCCCAGGAAACACCAGGCACCGAGCTGGAGGTGTGCGGTGGGGGGGAGCGTGCGCTCTGTGGCAGACTCGGAAGTGAACCAGAAGTGCTTCTGGTCCACTTCTGGGTCTGTTGCCAAGCGCGCTGGGGGGCCCCCCACGCTTCCGTGGGACGCTTTATCCTCCCCACCATCTCAGCATTCACAAGCCACCTGCTACCTAGAGGTATGTAGAAAAAACATTTAAAACTGTGTCTGTGCCTGAATCGCTGAATATCTCCAAATTGATTTGGAGGGTTCTGATTCAATTCAGAGAGATTAAAGGGTCCTCTGATTTGATTTGGATTCAGAGATTCAGCCACTGAATCGGGCTGAATCTTCCCTGAATTGAATCAGGGACCAAAGCTTTGCACAGCCCTACTGTGCACCATCTCCACCACTTTCCCTGTTTGCTCCAGGGGCAAGCCAGCCCATTTCTGGGCAGTCCTAGATGGCAGGAAGGTGACAGGGACAGTGCATGGGGCGTTGAAAGCCCCAGCGGGCTCAGGGAAGAGTTGGATCTGGCTGGGTGCTGCCTCCGAGCTGGGACAGCACCTGCTTGCTAGCAGCTCACCTGGGTGGCTCCAGGGGGTGCCTCTGCCATGGAGGGAAGGACTACAGATCTCCGCAGCTCAGGAGCCACTTGGCCTGCTGCTAGCTTGCCCCCTGGCTGTGGGAGAGTCCACTAAATAATAAAAAAAGTAATATCAGCCCCCTTGCCACTTCTGCCTTCAGCAGGCAACTGCTGAAGACAGCAAGAGACTTGAACTTTGTTTTTTTCCCCGGTAGGGTGTGCCTGTGACCAGGGGGAGCTGCTGGTGGGCCAAGTGGCCCCTGAGCTGTGTGGGGGGGTGGTCTTTCCCTCTGCATCGGCAGCACCCCCCAGGGCTTTCCAGGTAGGCTGCCAGCGGGCTGGTGCTGCCTCGGCTTGCAGGAAGCACCCAGCCTGATCCATCTGTTCCCTGAGCCCTCCTGGGGAGCAGTGCCCAGCAGGCTTCCAGCATGTGAGCATGGGGAACAGTTTGATCAGGCTAGGTTCTGCCTCCAACCTGGGGCAGCCCCCAGGTTGCTAGCAGCCCACCTGGGCAGCCCTGGGAGGGCATCGGTACCACAGAGGGAAGGACCAGGGCCGCCTGCAGCTCAGGGGCTGCTTGGCTCACTGGCAGCTCCCCCTCTGGCTGCAGGTAGGCTCCAGTTCTGACCAAAAAAAGAAAAAAAAAGAAAGGATCGGGCTCCTTGCTATAACATGATGGAAAAATTGAAATGGTGGGTTTCAATTAAAAACCCACCGTTTCAATTTAGAGGACATAAAATAAAAGCTTGGGGATTAAACCCCCATCACATGTACAAGCACTCTATTATTGCAAACAGGGACTGAATTCAACCAGGTTTTTCTGGTTTAGTTTTTGCTCACCTTTCAAAGCCATAAAATGTAGTAAATAAGATTCCACCATTTCTATTTCATGGAAGCTGTCTTCTATATTCTGTAGGTACAATGTACTACTAACTGGGTGGAAAAAAATGTCAGGCTACATAAATAGCTCTCTTTCACTCATAGCAAAAAATAGGAAAATAAGCTTAGACTGAACATTTCAAGCAAATTACTCATCAAAAATTAATTTGTATCTCCTCAATTTTTTAATAAATGAAACAGCTAATTGTTTATTTTAATGAGGGAAAGAGTTTGCATTTAAAGCAAATATTCTGATCTCCTTCAACAAGAGGGAAAAATGTCAGCTAAAATTAATCAGAAAAACTCTAAACAAGAATATGAAAATGTTATCCTAAATACACACACACACACACACACTTGTGCACGTGCGCACACACATGTACGTGTGTGTATGCATATGTGTGTGTGTGTACACACACACACACACATACACACACACACACACACACAAATATTTATACACACACATGCTCACATACATAATATATAAACACAAGTCATAACAGTTTTGCTAAATAGAAATTTACTTCAATGAACTTTCTTAGGGAAAAGAGAACTCTTAGGCTACATTATGATATGCATGTCACTCCTGAATATGAGCAAGTCAGTGTGCACTGTGAAGACTTTAATGCATGGACTTATATATGCAACTGCCCTTTACTAGAAGGAATGTCTGGAGTGCACTTGGATTCCCTCTGCTGGCTAAGTTAGTGCAGCTGCTGCTTTTGCTCAGTAGCTTATAGATGCTTGTACTCTGGGAGCAAAAGTTTCCATTCTTTGCTCTGTGTTTACACTTAGCTGGCAGTCATAGCATTCTTGTGTGTAGGCAACTACTGCTAGATTCCAGAATTCTCTAAATTCCAGAAAACAAAAGAATTTTATGTAAAATTTGGCCAAAGAGGCACTCCTAACATTTTGTTCTTTATTAAAATAATCCCTGAAGAGTAGTGTCTTCCTTACCTGCTGAACAGGTATTGACACAGGCCAAACCACTGGAGATGGCACTTTAGGTGGCTCTTGATGGGTAGTGGTAGCATTCGTAACAGGAGATGGCACATTCGAAGACACATCAGCTGGTTTCTGGACCCTGTGAAATATTAAGTGAAAAGAATTCTAACGTGAATTCTAATTCTAATGCTTCTCTGATGAAAGGCGTGTATTACATAGGTAATTTAATCTCATATTAATGATATCCTTGAATGCATATAGTATTACAATATTATATTATGAACAACATTGTTCTTGGCTTAATTTAAACTGATGTAGAGTAAGTTTTACATTGCAATATGGAATTACAGATAGGTGTCAGGCTGTATAACAGCCAATGTAATCTCTCATAGCTAATTTAACCATACATGCTTACAAAAAACAACATGGAGGGTGCATGTACATGAGATGCTTTGCTGTACAGTAGCATAGTTACTGCACAGTAAGTGCGCGCATCTACATGTGCACATTCTTACTGTGCAGTAAACTTCGCTAATCATAAGTAAATTTGTTACATGCAAATGCAAGTAGCAAATTTACTTGTGATTAGTTACTGTGCAGTAGCGCTCATGTAGATACCTGACCAGGAGCAAATCCACTCCCACTCAGCCAGCCCCCAGGGGGCTGAAGATTGGTCCCTGCCCCTGGGACCTGCCTGCTGCCAGGGTGGGCTCTGCCACGGGAGCCCAGGTGGGCACTATGTCTCTGCTCCTGCAGCAGGGAGCTCTAAGCTCCACGCTCTGAGATCATGATCAGGGAGTGGGGGCTGGGACCATGGAACTAGCACTGCTGACTCCACAGTCAAGGAGCTGGCATGGGGAGCTCCCTGCTGGTTGGGGCTGGGGAGCCTGTTCCCTGCTCAGCTCCATGATCGTAGCCTGTTTGCACCCAGCTACGCAATTGTAACAAGAAGCTCCTTCTTGCTTGCACCCCCCATTTTGTGCATTTCTTTTTCCTTCTAAATATTGGCGGAGACCTAGCACACTCATTGCATGGGTGTGGCAAGGGTCAGAGCAAGCCAGAAAGCTGGAGTAGCTTTCTGTAGGAGAAACCTACAAATTACATCTACATATCAATTAAATTCAGTGTCACTAAAGAAAGCAAAAGAACTAAAATGTCCACTTTAAAGCAACGCCTGTAATAGACAAGACAAGCCAAGGTACATTGAAAACATGGCTGTAAATATATCCTGGTGAACACATTCCCCCTTTGCTTAAAAACTATTTCCCAAAGCAAATTTCCCATATCTGTCTAAACCTTATGCTAAATCAGTCTATTGCATCTAACCTAATTCATTTACTGTCCCCAGTGTTTGATTCTCACTACTTCACAGTGCATGTTTATATTTCATCTGTCTCAGCTTTACCCTGGCATTCAGTATTTTATATTTTATACCTTTTAATTTTATAACAAATGTATTTTTCTTTAAATTAAAGTCATACCTTGTATTACTAGAACTATTATTGTAAGAATGCATTGGAATTGTAATCACTGGAATTGTATTGCTGTATTGGGCTGGTCCCCCTTGAGTGAATGTGAGTATGTATGATGAGTCAGTAGATAACTGAAGACAAAGCAAGAGCCTTCTGGCTGTTAATTGACAATCACCTATCTAGAGAAACTTAGCATTACAAAATGCTACTCTACAAGCCATTTTAGGCTAATCAAGCCAAGGAACTGATTCCTGGGACAGCGCACCCACCCTGTTAACTATTCCTGTACCCATAACAATACAGCCATTAAGTCAATAAGTGAAGGGCGGACTCCGGAAACTTCAGGTACCAGCGGGCAGAGACCCCTGTGACTGACAGCTGTCATGCACTACTTAAGACCCATGTGGGACAGCGACCTCCAGATTGGGCAGCCAAGATGATGCTGGGGGATCACACAAGTGTGTCAGAAAAGGATAAAAGGCACTGAAGTGTGACCCTCAGTGGCACCCTCTCATCCAGCACCTGACCTACTGAGACAGAAGGACAAGCAGGCAACCCCCTTCTGGAGAAGACATCGCCTTGAAGGAAGCTGACCATTGACAGCAGAGTCCAGGGCCTTGGATAGGTAGATATACTGACACCAGTGCTCTCACAATCATTACAGCAGCTACTATACACTGTACTACATGGGTTTAAATTACATGGGTTTGAATGAGTGAGTGCATGTGTGTGTGTGTGTGTGTGCACGTGCATGCTCAGGTGACCAGTACCCCATATAACTCAAAGTTTGCATTTAAGATTTTATTGGTAACTTTACATTCTGTACAATAAATTAGAATGTATTATGATCCTGTGAGATGGTCCTTTGTAGCCCACACAATCACACAGCTGAGCAGGGAACAGGCTCCTCAGCCTGTTCCCTGCTCAGTTCTGCGATCACGGAGCTGGGTGGGGAACAGGTTCTCCAGTCCCTGCCCCACCGTCATGGAAAAAGGGCTGGGAACTGTCCCAGTCAGGGGCAGGTCCCAGTCCCACACCCCTATCAGGTGATTGAGGCACATGGCTTGGAAAGAGCTGCAGTGGTGGGACAGGTCCCAGCTCTCTGCCCTGATCTACTGGTGCGGCAGCTAGCAGTGAGCTAGCTGCTAGCTGCCCCACTGGCAGATCAAGACTGGGGGCTGGGACATGCCCCTTCCCTGCAGCTCTTTCTAAGTCCCCTGGCCCTGACTAGGATGCTGGGGCCAAGAGCTCCCTGCTGCTGGGGCAGGGAGACATTGTCCCTGCCCGGCAGCAGGCGGCCCCCGCAGGATAGGGCACAGTGTCTCCGCCGCGCCCAAGATGCAATTGGTGCCTGGCCCAGTGCTTTGTGCATACAGCTCCCCCTGGTGGCAGCAGGGGCCCATTGCAGGGCCCCAGGAAGCGGGAGCAATTTGCTGCCATTAGCAGCAATTCTGCTCCTGGTTCCCTACACATGTAGACACCTGCCCAAAAGCATTTATTTGCGAGTAATTTACTCATGAGTAAACTGCTCCCAGATCTAATGCTCATGTAGACCCCCTGGAACCACCCAGGTGGGCTGTATACCTGCATAGTCTTGAGAGTTTGGAGGAGCTCACATCCCCAGGGGAAGCCGGCAGACCTGTATTAATTGGCTGCCGTGTGCGGTCAATTAAGCTGGTGCGGCATCAATTACTGAAGAAAAAAAAAGGAGAAGGAAACGTTTGATTGCAGCTTCAGCAATCAAGCATTTATAAATTAAGGAACTGGGAAGGGAGAGCCTGCATCTGAGTCCCCTGCAGCTGGGACAGGCACCACTGGACAAATGGCAAGTTGCCTGTAATTTTGCTTCTTACACCTAGAAGTTTTGTTTCATTGAGTATACTGGGTCCGGCACTGGGCAGGTGACAGCCAACACTGGGTCAGGGAGTCATCACCCCTTCACCCATTAAGTAGGTCCTCAGAGTTGTGGTAGGTGAGATAATAGAGAGGAAGACCGACTAATTTGAGTTGACCGGCACCGGCCTTGAAAGAGGGAAACCAGTGAATGTCAATGGGATGTAAAGGCCCACATCATACGAGTCATATTGTGACTAAGTGGTGCATTGGCCGAGAAGACTGATGATGGCCAAGGGGAAGCTGACTATATGGAGAGGTATCACTGGCAGCGGTGGCAGCCGGAGCAGACCCTAGCCAGCAGACGCTTCATTTGATGGGGCAAGTCCTCCAGCAACAACAACAGCAGTTGGCTCGTCAGCTTGCCCTGGAGGAAAATTGGATCCAACAACAAGCATGGCACTGGAGAAATGCCATGGAACTGTGAGTACCCAAGATGTCAGTACATGATGACCCAGAGGTATTCTTGGAAAGTTTTGAGTGAGCAGCATTGGTGGCTGGGCTTGAGAAATCCCTCTAGGTTGGACAGCTGGGAGTGTTACTAATAGGAAAAGCTCAAGCAGCCTATAGAGCTATGGCACAAGACGAAGCCATGGATAATGATAAGGTGAAGAGAGAAATCCTTTATTGCCTGGATATTAATCCAGAAACCTACTGGCAGGTGTTCAGGGCCAGAAAGAGGAAAAGGAGCCGTGGGCTCTGCTGCAATGTCTAGGTGACCTGGTAACCAAATGGTTGAAGCCAGTGGAAAGTTCAAAGAATGACATCTGGGACTGGATCTTACTAGAACAGTTTCTGAACGACCTAGATGAGGAAACCAAGAATTGGGTCTGATACCAACCGCAGTGCCTCGGCTGGTATCTTCAGCCAAGGCACTGCGGTTGGCTGAGAACTTCAGCAGTGCCCTAGGGGAAAGGCCTACAGATTGGAACGGGAAGGCCGCCAGGTACTTGAGACTTTGTGCGTCCACAAGACCAGGGAGTAGAGAGATATGAGACCATCGGAGACCCAACAGCAACTCAGTGATCTGTTTCCGAGGTGGGAAGGGAGGGCACATGTCCTGAGACTGCACCAATTTGATGTGGACAGTACCTAAGGTGGTACATTCCCTGTTCGAAAACTTGAGTACCACTCTGGGCCCCGGGAAATCTGGAGGTGTGGAATCCATGGACTGTAGCATAGGGAAGGAGATTAAAAGAGGCCTATTGCCATGGCCAGTAGTGGAGGCATGGATCGGAGGTGAGAGGTTTGAAGCCATCATAGATACTGGGTATGCTCACACATTTATACACGAGACCCTAGCACCTGGTGAATACGTGCAGAAGGCCACTCTGATCCAGATGACGTGCATGCATGGACAAAGCATTTACTACCCCCGGAAGGTGCATCAGGTTACTGTATTGGAGACCACTAGGGAAATACCTGTTGGAGTGGCCCATGATTTACCATACCTGATGACTCTGGGCCGGGACTGGAGAGAAATCTACGAGGTATTAAACATCATGAGAGGAGACAGGGTAGGCGAAGCCAGCCTATTAGGGAGCGAGGAGGATGATCCAGTGGAGGAAGGCTTTGACATGGAACGGCTATCCTGTAGTAGGTCATTCCAGAATGTGCAAGAGGTAGAGGAGGAGTTCTGGACCATCAAAGAGACTGAGTTGGTGAAAAATGATGAGGAAGTGGTGGACTCAGGATGTTACGCAAGTCTGCTCAGATTTGAGGTCAGGAGGGGGTTGCTTTATAGGATAAAGAGAGGGTCCCGAGATGGTAAGGA